CAACTGCTCGAGCCTGGAGCCGCCGGAGCGCTCGGGATCGCAACCAGTTGCGGTGACTCCGTTCAGCTGCCCCTTTCCTGAGCTCTGCTCGCCATCAGATCTTACTTCGAGAGCAGGTCACAGCGTTTCTGCTTCTGCAGTAAACAAGTGACATGATTAGAATGACGAGCGGGCTCCATCTCCGTGTTTTTAATCTCTAGAGGTGTCTCTGCCTGATTGGGAAGCTGAAATTCTGGCTTTTTATTTATGGTAAGTCGCACTTTCTCTCCTTTCTGAATGTGGGTACATACTGCGACTTTTCTAAACTAGTTATTTCTGTAGCTTCTCATTTCCACACGATTTTATTGCACGATATGAAGCCCCAAAAGTGTGTTTTAATCTTTATTTTCTCTGTACAAACACACTGTTTTCAATAAAGGAAAATGCTTTCTTTTTCCTCTGACAGGAGTCAGTAATTTCCTGCATTTTCTCCCTGCTTACAAACTTCTATCAATCAAAATGACTGAAGTGTCCAAGTGGCCACACGAGGGGAAAAGATTTACGTGACTCACTGGACTGGTAAATTCTGCGTCCAAAAAGTATAAACAGAAGCAAGAGCTTTCAAAGCTTATTTACTCACGTATCATCAAAACCAGGCCATAGGGGATTAAACAAATTTTCTGCACCCTCGTTTTAACTCTGTTGTCCTTCCATATGACTCTGAGCTCCTTAAATATGTGACACCCACGGTCTGCAAATGGCAGTTTAAGAGAATCAGGCTTATTTATTGGGTGAGTGCTTATATTTATCAATATAATTGATAGAGCAAGCGACCACTGCGATTACTTGAAGTTCCCAAAGCTCCCAGCCCTGGAAGCCACCAGAACGCAAACGGCATTTCAAGTCGCTTGAGATCAAAGTAGCTTAAGGGAATTGTATTGCCGGGGAGTGGGAGTCTGGACCAAGCTGATAAGTAGTCTGAGCGTTTGAAGTACTTCAGGGCTGCACCGCGGCAGGAGCACGAAGCGACAGGACAAAATAAGCCCAGCTCGGCGGTGCTTGGTTCTCCAGAGCTGGACCAGTGAGGAGAAACTGGGATGATCTGAGCGGGGCTCCACCTATCCAAAAAGTGATCCATGCAGGCTGGTCTCTGCCAAACAGAACGAAAAAACTCAATTCCGAGTTTGAGATTCTTGCCTAAAACAGCAGGAAGGAAACCTCAGAGCTGAGCCCAGCCTGGTCCCTCAAGGGCACCGCGGTGACAGGTACAGTCAGGGGAATAACAGAACAAGAAAGCGCCACCAGGGATTAAAAAAAAACCACAACAAAACAGGGACATACTAAGTGCAAACTGCCTTTTGTAGTACAAGGCAGCTCGAGGCTGGTTGGTGGGGCTGCGGCTGCAAGGAGCTGGTGTGTCACAGCTCTCAGCCAGAGCGGTTAAAGCACAGAAAAAAGAGCGCAGTGTCTTTCGGGGAGAAAGAAATGAAGGATGACGAGAGACGCGCTGCCAAGCCAGGCACGCACACGCCCAGAAAGTCGCTAAGATCGCGGGCAGGAGGCACGTCGCAGGTGCTGGTGGCTGTTTGCGAAGATCAGCAAAAACCATCAAGCATTTCTTTTTCACTCTGTAATTGTAAAGACGAGCACACGTCGCGACAACTCCGTGAAGGATCTCAAAGCTGGAAGACGTTTCTAACTACTTTAAACCAAAACGCTAGTAAAAAGCGTTCGCTACAACCAAGAAAACCTCCAAATTATTACGACGTAAATACCAAAACTGGAACTTCCTGTAACTACACTGTGAAAATGCCCCCAACGCTCTACAAATCACCTGGTTTTGGCTACCCACACGCATCGTGTCACGTTTATAAATAAGATTTTGTGCCTATCCAGGACACTCCTAGCTAGAAAGCCCCCAAAGCAGTCAGCAGCGAGGGGGAAAGCGGCAGAAACCAGGTCGCACAACTTGCAGAGATAATAAAGGAGCGCTGCTGTATCCATCAACGTCAGCGCGCCCCGCAGGACAAAGCGCTGGAAGGAAAAGAACTGGCCTTTCAGTTAGTTCGGATTCAATCATGGAAGCGGAAAATTTTCTATTTCAACTTGATTTTTGGAAGAAGAAATGTTTCACCGAGTCGCCTCATACCTTTCGAGGACAAAGCGCTAGTAGTCGGGCAGAAGGCTGAAAGCGAACATGTTTCTTTTCAGTAAATGCAATTTAGGAATGCAAATATACCTGCTTCGTCATAGGATACAGTCAATTTTTCCAGCATCTCTCGATCAATGGATAAAATCTGCTGCTCCAGGATGGTTTGGTAAGACAGCACGCTGTTCTCCTTGTCCTTCTCGTAGTCCTGAAGGTGTTGTTTTAGGACCTCAGGCAGGCGGGACTTCACATATTCTGCTGCTGACTATGTAGAAAAAAAGGCAAAAGGTTAAATTATTTTCGTTTTCTTTTGAAAAGCTTTATGTGTACCTATAGCAAAAATATTTTTCTGATATTTTAAATCATTAGCAAATGTAACCCCTCACAAAAATCGGGCTCAGATACCCTGGCGAGATCCAAACACAAACCAGCTTTTTGGGGTGTTTTTTAGCATCCCTGCCCTGCGAAAAAGTCCGTCTTTCTGGTGAGGGTTTCCTGCCAGCCTCAAGGCAAAAGAGAAAAATAAACGGTAGCCAAGCTGTGTTATTTCAGGCCTGGCACTGACCAGAAGTTACCTCTACTCAGCAACAGGCTCTTCCCGGGTTTATATTTAGTTTTCCAAAGTCAATTGCCGATTAAATTGCAGCCTTAAAATATCACCGAAGCCGCGTTCAATTTTTCTGCAAGCTAAGCCGTGGGAGACGAATGAAATTATTCTAGGAAATGGGAACGGAACTCTCCACATGAGTGCAGCATATTTAACGCTACATTTTAATAGCGGTTGTTTTCCAAGAGGATGCCAAAAGATACACTGTACGCTAATTACTCCAGTCCAAGTTCAAGCATTTGTGTTTAATGTGCCTTTGAGAAAAGGTTTTACTCTGCAGGGGGGTAGTTTTGTGCTCTAAGGCAGCAACTCTAAAGAGCAGAAAACAAAAGGGGAATTTATACCTATTAATTTGCTGAAGTATGTCTTGTGCCAGCCGAGCGAACGTTTGCATACCACCAGCTGAAAACACGGAAGGAAAAGTCACAGAATCACAGAATCACGTCATGGTAGGGCTTGGAAAGGGCCTCGAAAGACCATCTAGTCCAACCCCAACACACCAACACACCCGTCCCGTCCCAAAGACCTTGCGGCCCACAGAACAGCCAAGAGGCAGACGGGTCCAGGCAGACGGGACCACGCGTGCCCAACAGCCCTCGGCAAGTTCTTCCCCGAGGATTCAAGGTGGAGGATCACCCCCCACCCAGGTGGCATCTCCCGATCTCACGGGTGAGTTTTGGGGTTTTTTTCCCCCCCTTGGTGAGAAGCAAAACCCAAAGCTCCTGCTCAGTCCGCTGCCTTTCAGGTTACAGCTCGCTGGCGTTAAGGATTTAAACGGCGACGCGACGATGAAGCCGATAGAGAACGTTCTGTTCTGGCGAGAAAGGTGATCGGCCACCTCTGAGTAATGACATCCCGCGGCCACGGGACAAGCCGTACTCTGCTCTAGTCAGTACAAAAGTCATTTTATCTCCGTTTCAAAAAGTCTCTTCCAGGACTTGAAATATTGATAAAAGGAAAAGCGTGAGGGCAGGAGCGCGTGTGCTCATGCATGTGCTTCCTCTTCAAGACACCAAGAGTTTGACTGTACTGGGTGAATACAAATTAAACAACATTTGAAAAGGAAAGACCGATTTAAAAGGAAAGAGCATTTCCACATTCTTCCAGCTTATCTCCGTTCTCGCTGCATGGACCCCCGCGTTCGAACTTAGCGAGGGAAAAAGCCCCTCTCACTCCTTTGAGGCTTCAGACCAGCTTTATCCTCTTTAACTGTGTACGGTCCCTCTCGCTCCCGGGGGAAGGGATCACAAACCCTGGGAAACGCTCAGCCTCGGCCGGTCGTTAGAGGTTCAGCTAATTGGGCAACGCTCATCGGTCAGTCTGAACTGTTGCCTCTCCGAGTCACAACACCCTCCTGGCAGAAACGGAGTTATTTCTTTTCTACAACTGACAGGGCACCGTCCCCTGTGAATCCATTTTCAGTCTGAAGCGCCCTTCTCCAAATTAAACAGAGGATCAACGTCTTTAATGCCTTAGTTCCCTTTTGGATATTTCATCCTACCATGGAAAACTCCCCTTTCATACATATATGTATAATAGATTTTAAACTATCTACATACCATGAAACAGACTTGCAGAGCTTGTTCACAAAACCCCCACATTTCTATTCACTAAAAAACCCAAACCCTACATAAAAATTGCATCAGGAAATGCTGAAATCTGTCCCTTTGGGCCGGTTAGCTCAGTCAGTTGAGCGTGGCACTAACATCGCCAAGGTCACGGGTTCAATTCCCGTTCGGTTCCCATGTGTTGTCTGATCTAGGCGAGAGGCGGCGTCCCTGGCGACAGGGAGGCTGGATTAAATGATCTCTGAGGTCCCTTCCAGCCTGGGCCATTCTAGGATTCTGTGTCTATGACCTGAGCCTCAAATGCAGCCAGCAGCCCTCCGCCACTACCAGATTCACTCACGTCTTATAATCGACGAGAAGCACGTCCCCAAAAAGTAAATTTACTTTTTATAAATTATGCCAACCGCCTGCTACAATTTGCTCTGCACTCCTGAAGTGCAGCCTTCTGGGAGCTGCTTTGTCTGTGCAGAAGCAAAGGTCTAAAATGGTTAATTAAAGGCTTCTTTTATGAAGCTACTTCAAAAGTCAAGCGGCAGCTTGACAGAGCAGAACTGTTGGGTAATTTCGGGAAGGTTTCGATACCCAGGAGAGTATTTGCCGTGTGGCAGACCACCCCGTCCACAAGGGCCAGTTGCATCCCTGCTCATCCTCATCGCGGGCTGCTACCGCTCAGCGCAGCCCAACCAACGCTTCGCTGACCCGTTCAACCTGAAGCTCTTCACCTGAATTTTTCTTGGAGGCTGTAAAAAAATAAACAACAAAAAACGCCGAGATGCTGCCAAAAGTCAGCACATAAGAAAAAGAGAAGCAGAGGGCACTACCAGACACCAAACGCAAAGCAGAGGTGGGGTTGGTTTTTTTAACCAGGAGCCGGAATAACCAGCCACAGCGCGAGATGTGAGGTCGTACGGCCACGACTCGGGTACGTTCTAGGAAATGTATTTCTGAGCCTCGGGGAGCGCTGGTCGGAGCAGCAAAGCTCACGGTTCGGGTGCGGGGTGATGCATCCCCTGAGATAAGGAAGGCAAAAGACAAAGAGCATGAAGGTGACGATTAATTCCTCAGGGAGAAAACCTAATGAAGGCAAAGGACTTCAAAGGAAGGATGCTTAAAGGTTGCCGAGGCCTGACAGCACAAGAAGCTCAACAGCTGCAAGTGAAAGGAGAAAAGAAGGTATGAGGGGGTGCAAACAGTGCCGTGGAGAACCGATGGGAATGAAAACAACCCCAACGCAGAAAAAAACCCAGGAATTAACTTGGCTAAGCCATGAGCTGCTCAGTGACCTCCAACTCCAGAAGGACACATACACCCAGCCAGAACACCACAGGAACGTGAAAAAATAACAAACGCTGAGAAACAAATTGAGACCGAAGAAAACTAATGGCTTGGAGCTAGCAAAGGTAGCAAGAAAACGTTCCACAAGTCCATTTGTAACCAGAAAAAAAGGCAGGCGAAAAGCTGCCCTGCTGCTCAGCGGAGGAGAACAGCTCCTGACAGACGCTGCCGTAAAAGCTGAAGTATTTCCCACCTTTGTCTTGCCGCAGTACTCGCTGTCTTTACCTTGCTGCCTTCCACTGGCAGCTAATAGGAGAGGCAAATAACCAAAATCTCGAGACGGAATGGGGAAAGAACACGTTAGGAAGCACTTAGAAAGATCAGATCTTTTCCAGCCGGCTGGGCCAGATGAAATTCATTCGTGTCTACGCAGGTAACGGGCTGAAACAATCTCTTTAACGACCTCTGTCTCGGAAAACTCACTGAGGATGGCGAGAGCTGTTTGGGAAGGGCAAAAGGCAGGGCTACTTTTTAAACAGCATAAAGGGAGAGAAACAGAATTACAGGTTAGCAGCTTTAACTCTGATGCCTAAAAAATGGGTGAAAAGATCAAATGATTTCTATGCCCGCAGAAGCACCGAGGGAGCAAAGTGTCATTTGGAATATATAATGGCCACATTCGGAATTTCATATTCCACCTTTCAGGCTAGCGCTCCTTAGCAAAAATACTTTTATATACAGGTCTCACATCTTTTAAAGAACCTAAAAAACCACAACCAACCCCCCTGTCTATTCATTATTCAAGGAACAGCGCACGTAACTTACTCGGCGTGTCCCAAGAGGACAGGAAAACCCACGGCACAGCAAGGTCGGGGACATGAAATGTGTTCCAGAGAGCCCGAGGGGGATTGTTCTGCAGCAACCCTATAAGGCTTTCCTGTTTGTTCCAAAGGAGTATAGCATAAAAATGTAAATATTTACACACACATATATAAAATCGGATTGCTAGGTTAAAGAAATCACATCTCAGACTAAATATAAGCCCCGAGAGCCAATCTCCCCCTGACCCACTTCATTCTGCTCCCAAGGGTGAGCCAGGCCAACTTGAGGAGCCCGTTGCCCAGCCAGCACAGGCAGCGAGTAGTTATTCTGATTTTACTGTCACTCCAAGAGTCATTTCTCGGCATCCCCATGCTCTTTCAGGTGCTTAATACAGGAAGGGAATGGTTAAAGAATATTCTTTGGGTTCCTGCCTCCCCGAGAGCTGAACTTACTGCAGACAAACCACCCACCCAAGCTATTCACGCAGGAGAGGCTGGCGGCGACTGAAGTAGATAGAAAAAAAAAGATAAAATTGTGCCTCCAGGCCCACATGTGCCACTCCACTGATTTCAGAGAAATGTATGTACGTACAGCGGCGCCCAGCACTTATGGTCAGGTGCCCCTCCTTCCTCAGCGCGAGCTGTGAATAACTCCACGGAAGGCAGTGGGATTTTGCAAACCTCTTGGAATAAGGACACGAAGCTATGAATAGTTGCTCAAAAGGAAAACATGCGATGGCAAAACATAATCTGCTCTCAAGAGGATAAGACAAGATCTACAAATGGCACCGGGACAAACGTTTTGCCCTCTAGAGCAAGGAACTATTTACAGAACGAACACGCCAACAGAAACCCTTTAGTAGAGTTTTCCCGTAATGCAAACTTTTGGCATGCTTAGACTATTATTTCTATTAAAAAGTGTCTTTTTTTTTTCTCCAAAATAAATATTCAAGTAAATCAATTGTTGCCGATCAGTATGGATCCTAGCGAAGCCAAACTCGCC